GTGTCAACCCGCCAAGAGCAGTATGGTTGAGATTATTTCTCCTTAACTGCCCAAATTGACCCTACAAACACCCCTACTAGCAAGAGAGCTCTAATGTTCGAATATGTTTTTTGAGTTTAGGTTTTTACATTGTCTGGACAACAATTTTTTTTTAGTAATTAACTTGTGGATTATTTACTATTAGGAAACATGTTTATGTGTAACATAATATAATATTACATATACAAAAAGAGAAAACCCAAAATTAAAGCACGTCTATGAAATGGTTGGGTATGGGTACGGCTGGATATGTTTGTAAAAGGGTAATTATTTTTGAATTCACATTTAATGCCAAAAGTAAGGTATAAACCAAAATTAAATGTCATTATATTAAATAACGTACAAACTAAAGCTTAATTTTAAAATCATGCCCAAGCATAAATTAAAAATAGAAGTCCAATGAAATTGGTTGCACCTCCTTATAGAAGAAAATACTCTAAACCAAATCAAACTAAACAAAGCCTTAAGTCCCATCAAATGGGTTCGGCTACATGAATCTTTCTTCTCCACGCGGCCCTATCAAAGGCCATTTCATTAGTCAAATTAAGTAGATTCATATCTCTATTTATAACGTTAGCCAATGTTAATCTAGGCCTACCCCGTCCCCTAACACTTCCATCTACCGTTATAGCATCGCATCTCTTTACTACTGCCACTGTTGGTCTCCGTTGAATATGACCAAACCATCTCAATCGATTTTCTCTCAACTTATCTTCTATCAGTACTACTCCTATCCATTCTCGAATACACTCATTCCTAATTCTGTCTTGTCTAGTCTTACCACATATCCACCTTAGCATCCTCATCTCAGCCACACTCATCTTATCTACATGTTGTTTCTTGGTTGTCCAACACTCCATCCCATACAACATAGCTGGTCTAATAGCTGTTCTATAGAACTTACCTTTTCGTCTAGTGGGTATTCGTTTATCGCACAATACCCCAGACGCACTTCTCTACTTACACCATCCCGCCTTAATTCTATGGGCCACATCTGCATTAATCTCTCCCGTTGTTGTGATAATCGACCCTAAATAACGAAAATGTTCACTCTTAGGCAGTTCCTGGTTCTCAATCTTCACTTTTCCTCTGCTTTCATTGTTACTATTACTAAATTTGCACTCCATGTACTTTGTCTTAGTTCTGCTTATTCGGAATCCTTTAGATTCAAGAACTGTTCTCCAAATCTCCTACTTTGTGTTAACTCCTTCTCTATTCTCATCCACTAGCACAATATCGTCTGCAAAAAGCATACACCATGCCACGCCATCCTGAATATTTCTCGTCAACTCGTCCATAACTAAAGCAAAAAGATAAGGACTTAAGGTAGATCCTTGGTGTAACTCTACAGTGATAGGAAATTCATTTGTCTCTCCAGCTGGCGATCTAATAGTGGTCACCACCCCTTCATACATGTCCCTAATCACGTCAATGTAACATTTTGTCACCCCATTCTTCTCTAACACCTACCATATTATATCCCGGGGCACTCTATCATATGCTTTCTTAAGGTCGATAAACATCATATGAATGTCTCTTTTCTTTTCTTTTCTTTATACTTTTATATTACTCTCCTCAAAAGATAGATTGCTTCCAGTGTTGACCTACCAGGCATAAACCTAAATTGATTCTCTAACACCTCTTTCTTATTTCTTGCAATCGACGTTCCATCACCCTCTCCCACACTTTCATTATATGACACATTAGCTTGATTCCTCTATAGTTCCAATTCTGAACATCACCTTTATTCTTTTAGATTGGCACTAAAATACTCTTCTTCCATGCATCTGGCATGTTCCTAGTCAACAAAAGTTTGTTAAACAACCTAGTTAACCAAGCAACTCCCTTTTTATCCAAACATTTCCAAGCTTCAGTAGGGATATCTTCGGGTCCTAAAGCCTTATTGGATTTCATCTTCTTAAGTGCAATCTCCACTTCAAAATTCCTAATCCTGCGATAAAACCTATAGTCTTGGTTTATCGTGTTACTGGCTATTTCTTCCCCTATTATTGTACCTCCATGTTCCTCATTTAATAGTTTCTCAAAATAATTCTTCTATCTTTTCTTAATCTCTTCTTATAGAAGAAAATACTCTATGGTATAAAAAAAAGGGCAAACTTTACTTTACCCGTTGTGTTTTGGGCCATATGTGGTTTACGTCCCTAACATTTGGAAATGACCACATAACCCCCCATGTGGTTTGTGGATTGAGGGGCACAACAAATGTGAAACACGTGGCAGACATGTGTTGTGTTTGTGTCTTTTTCATTAAATCATTTTCATTCCACAAACCACAAGGAGTTATGTAGCCATTTCCAAACATTAGGTGGGTAAACCGCACATGACCCAAACCATATGAGGCAAGAGTGAAGTTTGTCCTAAAAAATTAAAAAAGAAAAAAATTTGGGTACATTTTTCGTGTATCTGATACATATACGAAAGTATCCTGCAAAGTATAAGTACCTAGTAAATACTTGGTATAGGTATGGCATATTTGTCAAAGTGCTTCATAGCTCAATACTAGTGAAATAATCTTATCACCCTAGGACTTCTTTTAACACCTCAATGGAATTAGCTGACCCCACTTGGAGACGTGGCTCTGCCCTGGGGGCTAGATCTAGAGGGATTGTAGCAGGTATTTAGATCTTGAACTAGCTGAGGGTCTTTATTCCTTCATTCCCTCTTATCGCCACTCTCCTAAGATAGTGTCGGTTCTGGCCTGACTTGGCCACCTTGAATCCCAGTCATCTGACATTTTTTCTCTTATGTTTAGAGAGAGAGAGAGAGAGAGCCACTTTTGGAATATTTTGTACTACACCTATATGATTCTTGATCTTGTAACCATATCAATTCATCAGGTAAAAAACATCAACTCAACTTTGGGGTATATATATTTTAAAAAAAAAAAGAAGAAGAAAACTCTTCATGTTAGAGCTGACCAAGGGCCCAAAAAGGGAATTGAGTACTTCCCTTGTTTGGATTACTAAATAGGAGAAAAATGGAAAGAAATGGACACACATTTCTCTCATAACTTCTATTTTCAGTCTCTCCAAAAGTAGAGAGAAATGGAAAAAATTAGAGGGCTGCTAAATGTCCCTACTTATTTACTTTGGATCCCTTACTTCTTTGAACCCCCACTTACATAATTGAAACCCTATCATTTTCTCTTTGAACACCCACCTTAATACCAAATATACCCCCTTCTTTAAACCCCAACTCTTCTTCTCCCTTCTAGCGCTGGCAGCGCTACTCCGGCCAGCTCCACGCCCTTCCTCCCTCCTCTTTCTCTTCTCCATTCGTCTTCTTCTCCTTCCCAACAATCCGATTGCCGCCACCGTCCACCACCACATTGTTCTTTTTGGCATCATCAATTGGAGGCTTAGGCAAAACAGAAGTTCTTGTAACTGTAGAGTGATTAGGAATTGTGTTCTCTCCTATCACATGGTTCTATTTTGATTCGATTGGCTCTTTTCTCTCTCATCTCTTGCCGGAACCAAGGAGGTCGATGCTCGGATGAGTTGAAAACTAGCAATCCTTGGACCTCGGCTAGTTCTTAAGAGCTGCAGAGGCTTGTTTAGCTGCTCATACAAGAGGCTCAGAGCCTTCATCTTCTCTATCAAGCCATGGTGTGGGTTTCTCATAGGAAAACCCATGTGGGTAGTCTCTTTTGGATCTGTCCTTAGTCTGGCTCTAGAGTCTTGATTTTGCTCATTTAGTTATGGGTTTGTGATTTGAGACCTAGTTGACATAGGCATTCTAATTTTAGTCTCACTGTCCAAACATACCCTTGTGGTGGTTTTCTTCAAAACCCAATTTCTGGAAAAGATTGAATTGCAGTAAAGTTGAATTTTTTTCCCAAAAAGGTAGTGACGGCGCTGCTTCTCTTCTCTCTATTTCTTTTTCTTTTTTTTGGTGTTGGTTATGGCTGATTCCGATTAGAAAGGTAGCGACGACGCCAGTGGAGGAACAGCGGCAGCGGTGGTGCAGCAGAGGGGTTGAAGGTCGCCGGAGAAGAATGTTGCAGCCGGTGGCGATCTAGGGTTTGAAAAATTAGGGTTAGAAGGTTAAGGATGAGGGTAAATTTGGAATTTCATGTTTGCATAAAATTGGAATTAAAAAAAATAAAAGAGATGGGGGGTCCTAAATAAAAAGGTAGGTGTAAATAGCACTACTCAAAAATTAAGCCAACTAAATATTATTTTGTTATAATACCAAAATTACCCTTTTAGATATAGAACAAATAAAAACACTTAACACTTATAAAAAGGTAAATTTGGTAATATAACATTATAGAATTTCTTTTCTTTTCTTTTCTTTTCTCTCTTATCTATCCAAACAAAAGGAAAAGAAATCACAATTTTTTCTTTTCTCTTGTAACTTACCAAATCATTTCTTTTCTTTTCTCTCCTAAGTTACCAACCATAGTGCAAGCAAGGCAAACTAAAAGAACTGGAACTTAAGAATGACATAAGAGAGCCAGCCAATCAAGTGCACTGATCTGAAATCTAATCCAAATAAAAAAAATGATGTGAATCCTTGTTGAGTAAGATTGTGAACCAGATTGGAATGCATGCTCACCTGCAGTGTTGAGAGACATTACCATAGTCATCATAAGGCATGCACACATCTAGAATGCCTTTTGCTAGTTTCTTTTATTTAATTAGTCTGGAAATTAAAATGAATAATATATTGATTGGAATTTTGTTCCTTTGTTGCGTCATGAGCAGAATTTTTACCTAGTGCAAGGTTTTTTGTTCTACACTTATGAAGGACTGGGTTATTAACTAGCACTGGGTTAGTGAGAAAGTGGGAAATTATTATTTGTTTAATTATAATTTGGTTATATGCAATTTTTTTCCACTTCTGCTGCTTTTTATTTTATATTGTCATTTTCTTTCAAAGTAAAAATTATAGCAATGGGGTAAACCTTCTTGTTTGACATAAAATTTTTGTGCTTGTAGGAACTTCAATCAATGAATATTGTTCCTCGCTTGAAACTAACGGAAGCTTGATGGTTTGGGCTTTCCTGCCAATGCTTGGAGTTCATAAATTGAGACAATGAGGTACCTGAAACTCTCTCTCTCTCTCTCTCTCACACACACACACACACACACACACACACATTCTTCTGTCAAAATTGGAGTTTTTCCCATTTTGTATTGTTTCTGAAAGTATGATTCAATCCTTTTATTCTCACAGGTTGTGGTGCAATTTTGCTGGAGCTATGGTACAACTGGTCCTTGGCAACTGGTGGTGTTATTTAGAGCTTTTAAAAGTTTTGTACCGGTCCTTTCTTCCAAGATATGATTGAAAGCTTCTGGTTGCGGAGACATGCTTCTAGAATACCTTCATTCTTTTTTCCTGGGGTCTTTGGCTTGTTCCGAAAGAGAACAAGTTATTAAAGCAGAGTTGTAGAAGGCCTTCTATGCATTGAAGCCAAGGAAGTTGGATATTATTGATCTATAATTCCGCTTGTATAGTTTAAACTATTATGTGACGAAGGGTTTGCTTTAAATTTCTTAATTGGAAGAGCAAACAGTAAATTGTATGAGTAAAAGGTTTTGCAATATATTTTCGCACTAGATCTTAATTTTCATATTTGCGGTTTTTTATGGACAATTTCACTTGTAGATATTTTCTCACACCTTAGCCCATAATATATAAGATATATTAATTTATCTATAACATATTTCATTTTTGAATGTTCTGTTATGGTAAGCATATTTCATTTTTGAATGTATTGTCATGGCAAGTTCGTGATTGAAGTTGGAAATAAGTTGTGATGTACGTTTTTTTCATATATATTTTCTCCATTTTTTAGGATAAATTAGAATAAATAAAAATATATATATATATATATATATTTGGAGAGCTGAATGCTTACAATTGTTGTGCAATGATGTCAATTTTGAACTTCTGGTGGAGCAAGAGCAAGAGACTCAACTTCATCTATCACTTTTGTCATAACAATGAGCTCATTTGAGAAGTTGACTATTTTAGTTATTTTTTTGGTTATTTTAACTTGATTAAGAGCATCGACACTTGTCTCTCTAAATTTTTAGTCAAATTAGAGCTGAAAAATTTATTTTGCTATTTTAGTTAGTCACCCATTGCATCAAATTATCTATTCTAACTCAATTTTATTAAAATATTATGTTGTTTTTGTATTTTTGTATTTTTTTCTTTTTTATTAAATTGATGAGATGTTACCCAAATAATTCTTAAAAAATGCAACCAAAAAAATAAAAATAAAAATTGCCGTTCACTGGTTGGATTAATTTTTGACATTTTTTCTTCTGTTACATGCAGTCACGGGACATTTGGTGAGATATTCGGAAGGATATTCCGGTGGATGACCGGTTTAAAAATTTTGGCCCGGTTTTGTTCTAGAAAATATAATAAAAAATCTTGTAGCGAATGAACAGTGTCTCAACAAAGTTGTTGAGATACTGTAGCAAATTTAACAAAATGTTAATTTAGAAAAAAATTGTTGAGTCTGATGGAGGAAGAATTTGTTGATTTATTAGTTATATTTTAGTTTTTTGTTATTTTGATGATCCTGATTCGAATGCTCTAAAAAAAGTTGTGTTGAAAAAGATAGTTGACTTTTTTTTTAGTTGATTTGATAGTTGTGAGAGAAAAAGTTAAATGTGACATTTTTTCTTATTGACTATTTTAATCTATTTTGTCTTTATTAATTATTTTAGTTCAAAACTTTATTCCCAAATAGGGCCAATAAGTTATTGTAGAATATACACTATTTTTTACCAAACCTCTCACATGAATGTGAGATCCACACAAATTACATGTGTGTGAGTTTCATATGTGAGAGATTTGTTAGAAAATCTGATAATTTATTTGGAGTTCCTAATATAACTCTAACATTTGTAATCTTAATTATCACAAATATCATAATTAATAATTTTTTTTAATTATAACTAAAAAAAATAAGTTATAACTAAATACCACATAAAGTATAACTGAAATTTCTTTAAAAAAAAGTATAACTAAAATAATAATCACATATTTAATGATTATTAGCAAAAATATTTTAAAGGATAATTCTATCATACACACCTTCTATCACATGTACTCATAGTTTTACTATTTTTTTTCTTTAATTATAAATAATTTTTATTTTAATTGTAATATTATTTTAAAATTTTTAATTGTATCTTAGGTTAGATTATGATTTTTTTTTTTTTGTTACGATTCAAAAAATACAAAATGATACCATTTTATAATTGAAGTACATATGCGCACACCTTTGAGCAGAGTCTCTCTCTCTCACACATACACACTCACTCACACAGAGGTTGAAGAAGACGTCAAGGAGAAGAGTTTCTGTTTCTTCCATTATTGGACGAAGAAGAAGAATTGATGATCATAATTGTCAAAAAGGTACAATATTTCCCAATTAATGATATTTTTAATTGTTCTTATTTGAAATTCAGATTCAAATAGATTATAGATTATAATTGAAAAATTAGGAATCAAAGTAATATAAGTTTCAAACTATAGAGACTCAAGTAGGAACGTCAAGGAGAGGATCCTGATTCTAACACTATATCATAAAAGGGTTTTGAATTAAAATTTTGAATTGTATGTTTGATTATGAACTTTAAAATTAATTTTTAAATTAAATTTTAAATAATTTTAAATTGTGTATTTAGTTATAAATTTTAAAAAATAATTTGAAAATTTTGCCTTTTAGAATTATGATTTCAAATGGAAACCAAACATAGCCTAAATTTTTTATTCAAATTAAATTGATGGAAAAATTTAATAATATATTAAAAAATTATTTTTATTGACAAAGTAAAGCTATTTTAAAATTGATCATCAATGGATACCCAATCTATTTCCATGGAAGTCCTCTTCAGTAAATCCCAGATTCAGTCTGTACTTGTATCTCTCTCTCTCTCCACACTGCTTGAAGAAGATGTCAAGAAGCAGAGTTTCTGTTTCTTCCATTATTGGACGAGGAAGAAGAAGAAGAAGAAGAATTGCTGATTATAATTGTCAAAAAGGTACAATATTTCCCTCTCTAATTAATCATCCCTCTTCACTCTTATTTCTTCTGTTTCGTTCTCTCTCTACTTCCCGAAACCCTAGTCCTCCTGCTGTTCGATGCAATGATCTCCAAGATGCTGTAAATTCGTTCAATCGCATGATCCAAATGCGACCTTTGCCCCCCATTTCTCATTTCAACAAAGCTTTAGGTCCTATTTTGAAAATGGGTCATTACGACATCGCACTTCCTCTTATTGGGAAATTGCATTTTCTAGGCATTCATGTCGATATCTGCACCTTCAACATTGCTATTAACTGTTATTGCCGCATGAATCAAGTCGATTTTGGGTTCTCTCTTCTGGGTACCCTTTTCAAACGCGGTTATACACCTGATGTAACTACCTTCAACACTCTGTTAAATGGACTTATTTTGGACGATAAAACACCTGAAGCTGTAGAGTTATATAAGAAATTAATGAGAATGAGAGAAATTGAACCCGACGTGGTTATGTATGGAACCATTGTTAATGGGCTCTGCAGAACGGGGAACACTAGTAGGGCTGTTAGTTTGCTTGGGATAATGGAAGAGGGAAGGTGTAAACCTGGCACCGTAGTGTATACCACCATCATTGACAGTCTTTGCAAGGATCGAATGGTGGATGATGCTCTCAAACTCTTTTCTAAAATGGATGAAAAGGGTATTTTCCCAAATGTTTTCACTTATACCTCTTTGATTCGTGCCCTATGTAATTTCGGTCGGTGGAAGGAGGCTACTGAAATGTTCAGAGAAATGTTGGATGGTGGTATAGCTGCGGATGTTCATACATATAGTGTGATGCTGGATGCATGTACCAAGGAAGGGAAGATGAAAGAGGCTGAGGGGGTACTTGAAGTCATGATAAAAAGAGGTGTGGATCCTAATGTAGTCACATACAGTACTCTAATGGATGGATATTGTATGCAAGGCCACATGGATGAAGCAATCAGAGTGTTGAAAACCATGGAGGAGAGGGGCCTTCACCCCAATGTTTTTAGCTATACCATTCTAATCAATGGATATTGCAAGAAAATGAAAATAGATGAGGCTATGCATCTCTTTCGAGAATTGCCTCGAAGGGGGTTGAAACCCAACAATGGAACTTTCAGTGCTATATTACAGGGTTTGTTTCAAACAGGTAGATGTGGAGCTGCTCAAAAACTTTTTAATGATATGCAAGCTACAGGCATAAATCCAGATTCTCAAACTTATGGTATCGTATTGGATGGGTTGTGCAAAAATGGGCGTATTTTTGAAGCATTGTCATTATTCCACATGATGGAAATGAATGGTTTAGATCTTAATGTAGTTATGTACAATATTCTCATTAATGCATTCTGCAAGGATAAAAAGCTTGATACTGCAAGGGCTCTTTTCAACAGCCTTTCTTCCAAGGGATTAGATCCTAATGTTAGGACATACACTATGGTGATACAAGGCCTTTGTGAAGAAGGCCTATTGCATGAAGCTAAAGAGTTGTTTGTTAAAATGGAACAGAATGGTTGTTTTCCAAATGATGTCACTTACAACACTATTATCCGAGGATTTATTAAACAACACAAGTGTTATGAGGCATCAATACTCGTTGAGGAAATGGTTCAAAGGGGTTTTTCGGTAGATGCATCCAATTCTTCCTTGATTGTAGATATACTGTCAACTAAAGGACAAGATCCTACTCTTCGAGAAATGATAAAGAAGTTCATTCCAAAAGATAGCCATGATATTGAGTAAATTTCTTTAGCTATGAACGTAAAGCTACACATTAAAATATATATTATTAAGTGAAGCTTTTTTTTTGTTTGTTTGTTTGTGTTATGGATTGACATGGGTTTATGCATCTCCATCAACTATTTTGGACTTGTTGCTACGTGACTTTGCAACATGTTTTCATAATTTCTATTTATGTATATCATGTGTGTACGGGAAAGAAATAAACCTTCTCGTATAATCCTGTTGATCAAGTCTGCGCTCTTCTGTACGACGTTGCTTTACTCCCTGAAAACACAAACGTGAGCTAGCCGGCGGGTGTGTGCCGGAAACCCTTCCGATGCCTAAGTCAGTAAGCTTGACAAATACACAAAAGCTCTGTGTATTCAGAAAACAAAGTTGAGTTACCTTTCCAAAGGTGATGTTTGTGAGCTTTTATAGGTTTCGTGTGGCACAATCCTAGTAGGACTTCTACTCCATGCAGAGTCCTCCTAGGATTCATACTCCTGAAGGGATAATGCTTATCCTTCAACACCCCCGTCACTGCTTAAACCAAGTGAGATGGTTTTACCATGGCCGAACTACCATACGACCGAAGTAAACATGGCCCTACTTAGCCGAACTATAATTAGTTCGGTTCTGTCCTTTGTTCCTCTTCCACTTACCAGGGTATGCCCAAAACCGAACTATCTTTTTACCAAGGTTTAGACCAATCTTGTTCCACTGCGCCATGACCGGTATAAGTTCAAAACATCCTTAAACCGGTCTAACTACAAAGCGTCCTTCGACCGGACTAACATCAAGCATCACTCGGACCGGTCTACCTTCTAGGCTTGAGACCGGGCTCTAATTTTAAGCCTCTTCAAGGCCGGAGTATCTTTATGACCTCTTTACTCAGCCCTTCGTACTGAGGCTCATAAAGGCCTAGCTCGGCCCAATTCGTATATAAATTACCCTCTCAATGTGTATAATGCTTCCTAATTCTCTCTCTGTCTCTCTCTCTCTCTCTCTCTCTCTCAGAGACCAAATTTTTGATTCCCCTCCTTTGAATGTCCGTATTGACACAGTACCAAGCAACCCCATTCACAAGAAGCGGTGCTGACATTGGCAAGAACAAACACTTGTTGAATTGTCAATTGTTCCTTTTATTCTACGCTATTGAAAAATTATATTTTTTTATATTATTCTTTTGTTATTTATTAGTACACTATATATTATTGTGTTGACTAAAATGACTATCAGAAGTTCATCCATGGTTTGCTCCAATTGAAGGTAATGTATGGATAGTTCACGTGATCAACTATTGAAATATTTCTTATGCTTTTAAGAAAACGTGCACCATTTGGTTTATTTGTGATTTCACTATTGGGATTAAGTATGGCTCTTCTCTTACACTAGGATGAACATGTGGAAGGATTTTACTTTTGAAAACATTGGTTAAAAATGGATAGAGAATGATCATGTGGACTTGGTTTCATTTGACTTAGTTTATATCTTTTGGCTCTTAAGTCTAACACAATTATCTATATAATAAAGCATCTAGCTTTTTGAACATGTACTACAATTTTGTCCTAGATATCACTTTGAATGGTTAGGATTGACACAATCTAATTGTCTAAAAATGTCCAAAAAACAAATTGTCTTTTAATGGTTGAGATTGTTTGTTTGGCATACATCCTACGGTGAAGGATACATTTTCTCCTTTTGTTTGTTCGTCCAGCCCGTTCCTTTCTGTTTAGCTCTCTCTCATTTGAATTTCAAATTTCAAACACACCTTCTCTCAGTCTCACTCTCTATTTCTCTCACACACTTCCTCCTTCATTCTTTTTTATGGTTCAATAATCAGAAGGTTTTGGATTAGACCTAGTTGGTTCATCGCTTTCAAACCCTGCAATCTCTTACCTATTTCACTCTCTGATTGCTTTCAACAACCAACCACATGTCAACAACCACTCAAATCCACTAATTCGAAGACCCAAATTTTCAATCTACCACTGCTACTCAACCACCACCAACCTCATCACACCCAAAACCCGTCATTTTTTTTGTCAGCACACCACCTTCCTCCGCCACCACAGGCCAAAACGCACCACCATAGATTTCTTACAATTTTGTAGAATCCCTTGGTTCTTCGGTTCATATAATGGTGAAGCTGGGTCAAGACAGGCCGCAAATCGAAGTCGAAGTTTGAATTCAAGGTCATAGTTATGGATTTCTTTTGAATTAGTTTATGATATTTAATTTTTTTTCTTGCTGTAGGTCAATGATTTTTGGGTTTTTGACATCATTGTTTGTACGTTGCAGGTGTAAAAACCCATCATTGTTTGATTCTTTTAGCTTAGGTCATAGGGGAGCAGCATCCATAGAATAAGCACACCTGTTTTTCATGGTATTTATTGATTCTTTTGTTCATTCTCCCATGATTTTGCTTCCTGTTAAAATCCACCCACTACACCACTACCACCTACTACCACCTACTCTTCTATATATAGGAATCATTGTAACATATCTATCAATTAATCAATAATACATCAATCATAATACATACATAATTGTTTCTCTCTCTCTTTTCCTATACATTAATTCTAACACTTCCATTCACCGAGCTATGTTTATTGGGTCCATGAGAATATCTTTGGTAGATTTTTGTTCAATAGTGGATAATGACATATGTAGGGTTATTATTTTGGTTACTAATTCTTTGTTATTTGGTTATTGTTCAGTTAAGGGATTTTACTCTCTCTCTCGTTTTTGTTTTTCAAGGTTATTGTTCATGGTACTTGAGGTCTACAACTAGATGGTGTTGATGGTACTTGAAGTTGTTTCTATAGCTATTGTGTCTGTTGATGACATTGATTGCTTTTTAGGTATTATAAGTGCTTTTAGTTTTAATTATATATATATATATATATATTTTGAGTTTTGGGTTAATTCTATTAGATTGAGAATTTTGTGTATACTATCAGATTGCAAAGTATCTCTCCATGTTTGATCAACATAAATCCTGTTTCAGTGTGTTTTTTGGTGTTTTCCATGATGCTATCAGATTGCAAGTTTAGGGTTTGCAAATTATCTTCTTGCTTTTTCTATTAGATTGCTATAGTGGTAATTTTTTTGGGGGTTGAAGTTGGATAAATACTTTGTGATTAAGCTTTTACCTTTTCATTGTTATGATCATTGTAGAGATCTCTTTGTTTTTAGTATGATTTTGCCCGTACATTTATGTATTTAATTTTTCTCTTGTCTCTATGTATATGTGCCATAAAGGTTTAAGGTTTATAATTTTTTAGTAGTTCTTTAAAGAAAACCAATTATTTGTAATTATTTGTAATTATTTGCATACTATTTCTGACAATTGAAGTGAGTTAATATGCCTTCATTGTTGTGAATAGGGATTCCTTAGTTTTTGGTAAACTGCTGTGGAAACAATGCTTCAATTTGATGCTTTACTATAGCTTACTATAGGAACCATTATCATTCAATAACTAGGATTTAACTCAATGGGTTCAATCATGATGGAAAATGGTCGGGATGATCAACAACACTCAATGGAATAGGTCATAATTTATGAAAACATTAAGAAGCTTCCTAAAGTACTCTCAAATTAAAATTCTTTCAATAGTATTTCATTAGTTTCAAATTAGGGAGATGCTATGTAAAAAAGTGCAAATGGTACGTCTTTCATAACACTACTACAAAATTTAGTAACATAAATCATAAAATGATACTACTTTTCTCACTACAAAAATATAACTTGCACTTTAGGGTGCACACCATAAATTCACTGTGCATAACTTTCACCACAAATTAACATAGCAAAACTTTAAAAAAAAATAAAAAATAAATAAATAAAAAAATTGTAACTTTCATACAATGACCTTCTTTAGTAGTACACTTTATAGAATTTCCCTTCAAGTTATTATTATTAATTTTTTTTGAAAATGATTGTTCAAAAGATTGGTGGTTGATTAAGATGAAAAAGTACTTGTAAAGGGTTTTTTTCATTGGTTACTATTGTTTGTTGATGATTAATTTGTTTTAGGTAGAACATTATAAGCTATCTTGCCTTTCCATCTAGCTGGAGTGGCTAGTGTGTTGGTTGATTTACTATGAAGGCTTTCCTTTCATATCTTTTTAGTGAATCTGGTTGTATTAATTATATTTTTCATAATTTTTTTAGTTTGAACTATGAAAAAATAAATAAAAATTTGGATTTTAGATTCTTATTTTTGTCTTTATATTTCAAGGTGTGATTTGCTTATTTTTAAGATGCTTAAATCCGTAGAATATAAACATCTACATTGATGATGATGATGATGAATTGTGAGTCTGTTAAGGCCATTTATATTAGGATGATTAGCTCTGTGTGTCAATGAAAGCATCGTGTCTTTTATTCATGTTGCAGTGATTTAGTACCAAAGCTAGCCTCAATTGTAGTTTTATTTATTTATTTATTTATTCATTTTATTTAATAATTTGGATTCCGTTAATAATTGTTCTTCAAAAACTATTTTGCTTTTGGAATTCCCTTGCTTTTACTTTCATGCCTTATAACCTGTAATTTTTTATCCTATTTCAAGGTTGATTCAAGAATGTTCTTAGTTTTTTATTTGTTGTTTTGGATTGTATTGGTTTGGTTCACTTTATTGGTTTGATTCATTTTATCAAGTTCATACCTTGCTATTCTGTGGACAAAAAATAATTACAAATTAGTGATAAACTTTATAAATATTAAAAATTAAAATATCAACCAACCAAACCAAGCCTTAAGTCTCATCAAATAGGGTCGGCTACATGAATTCTTCTTCTCTACGCGGCCTTATCAAATGTCATGTTGTTAGTCAAATTAAGTAGATCATTATCTTTATTTACAACGCTAGTCAACGTTAATCCAGGTCTACCTCGTCTTTTAACACTTCCATCTACCGTTATAGTATCGCATCTCTTGACTACTGCCTCTGTTGGTTTCTGTTAAATATTACCAAACTATCTCAATCGATTCTCTTTCAACTTATCTTCTATCGGTGCTACTCCTACCCATTCTTAAATATACTCATTCCTAATTCTGTCTTATCTAGTCTTGTCACACATCTATCTTAGCATTCTCATCTCAGCTACACTCATCTTATCTACATGTTGTTTCTTGGTTGCCCAACACTCCGTATCATACATCGCTCTTAAGTTCAATTAAATGGGGTCAGCTACATGAATTTTTCTTTTCTACGCAGCCCTATCAAAGGTCATGTCGTTAGTCAAATTAAGTAGATCCTTATCTCTATTTACAACGCTAGTCAACGTTAATTTAGGCCTACTTCGTCTCTTAACACTTCTATCTGCCGTTATAGTATCGCATCTCTTCACTACTGCCTTTGTTGGTCTCCGTTGAATGACCAAACCATCTCAATCGATTATCTTTCAACTTATCTTCTATCGGTGCTGCTCCTACCCATTTTCGCATGCACTCATTCCTAATTCTGTCTTATTTAGTCTTGTCACATATCCACCTTAGCATTCTCATTTTAGCTACACTCATTTTATCTACATGTTATTTCTTGGTTACCCAATACTCCGTCTCATACATCGCTGGTCTAATAGCCGTTCTATAGCACTTACCTTTTAGTCTAGTGGGTATTTGCTTATCACACAGGATCTTAGATGCACTTCTCCACTTACACCATTTCGCCTTAATCTTATGGGCCACATCCGCATCAATCTCCCTCGTTGTTGTGATAATTGAACCTAAATAACGAAAATTTTCACTCTTAGGTAGTTTTTGGTTCCCAATCTTCATTATTACTATTACTAAATTTACACTTCATGTACTGTGTCTTAGTTCTGTTTATCCGGAATCCTTTAGATTCAAGAACTTTTCTCCGAATCTTCAACTTTGTATTAACTCCTTCTCTAGTCTCATCCACTAGCACGATATCGTCTATGAAAAACATACACTATGGCACGTCATCCTGAATATTTCTCGTCAACTCATCCATAACTAAAGTAAAAAGATAAGAACTTAAGGTAAATCCTTAGTGTAATCCTACAATGATAAGAAATTCAATTTTCTTTTCAACAGGCGATCTAATTGTGGTCACCACCCCTTCATACATATCTCTAATCACATTAATATCCATTTCTTCTTTCACTTGTGTAATTATTTTTTTTAAAAAAAAAATTACCCTAGAGTGTATTCGCCCCTTTTTAAAAAGAGGGTCAACAACCTTCACAATGTTTGCATCGCAGCTTTTTTTAGTTCCAAGATGGTTGTTGAATGAAATTCTTATCAACTGGTATGGTTCTTGAAGCATTTTTATTTATTTTAATCTTTTAACAATTAAAATATTAGTATGATTTTTAACAATGAAAATATTAGTATGATTCAGGACTGTAAATGCGAATTCCTGATCCAAATGCGACCCCTCTCCCCCCCTCCTCCCCGGTCCTCTCATTTCTCAATTCAACAAAGCTTTACACCCTATTTTGAAAATGGGTCATTACGACCTCTCCCTTCCTCTTATTGGTAAATTGCATTTTCTAGGCATTCTGGTCAATATCTACACCTTCAACATTCAGCTGAAGTTGATTTGTTCACACCAGATGTGCACTTGGATTTTAGAGTTGGTTTTCACAATTGGCTAAATCATTGAACGACACAAGTTTTAAATTTGGTAAAATCGTTGGAAGGACAAGGCATAAATTTTGATGTTCTATTTGAAATCTATTGGTGTTCAAAAACAAAATCAAGATAATTTTATGACGCATCATGATGAAATTTTTTCAAATAGTAAAATATTAGGGCTTACTCAAAGAGTATACATGAATGAACAAACAAAAAACTTCAACCACAAATAAGTGACAATTATACAACAAAAGGTTAAAAGCAATAAAAAAAAATACATATATATATTTCAGCCATAGAAAGTATTGTTTTGACATTCTATTCCTAATTCAATTATTGATCCTTAATAGTTGTACTCATCTACAAGTAGTTATGAAGGGCATGCTCAATATCGAAATGAGAGAATGGAATTAGAACAAACTATGTGGGACCAAGCTTGGAGCTTTCAGATTTTTTAAAAAAATTAACTCCAAAATATATTTCTTCATCCACTATTAATAATTCTCTCTTTAATTCATAGCATATTAGTCCTTGTTGTACTTGCATTACATTACTTGTTTCTATACCTCGACTCTAGGTGTTACCTTTTGCATCAAAGATGCAAGGCTAGGTTTCACATTTAAATATCTAAAACTATTTTTCTCTTGATATAGATATGAATATGACAGCAATGGAGGGATGAGCCTATGAAGTATGGGGTGTAGGTACGGATATTGGTATGGGTATACCGGTACGACAAGACCTAAAAACAATACAATATGGGTACGACTGTGGTACGTCAATAATTTTCTATATTTTTTATAATTTATATTTTGAGATTCAATTTACAAATCAAGGTTCAATACCAAAACTAAAATGTGAAATTACAAAACTAAAGAGAAATCATAGTTTAACAATACTAATATCAAAGCAAAGACTATAAACTATTTGAATGCTGTTAAATAGGAGAAATTACAAAATAAAGTTTTATTTTAAAAGTAAGTTAAACAAAATTTGAAAATTTGAAATTTCAATTTTCACTTATTATCAACCTCATCATTGAATAATACATCGTAGGAGAAATTACAAAACAAAGTTTCAATTTTTTTAATTATTAAAAAAAGGGTAAATTACACTTACCTCCATTGAGGTTTCTTACAATTACATTGGCCTTCTATTCTTTTTTTGAAATTACACTGGCCTCCCCTAAGTTTTGCTTTTGATTTGCAATTTCTCCCTTTCCATTAGTTTTTATTTATTTATTTTTTAATTTTTGGTGAAAGTCAGTAATTAATTATTAAATTAGCACATAAGGGATTTCAATTTGGTTTGCATAATATTTGAAGTGATTATCGGTAAATTAAGAATAAAATAAACCAATTAATCATTTTTTAGGTAAACAAATTAGTATGAATTATTGAAACCATGTGAAACATACAAGAACTTGTAAGTATGTAATGCAATAAATTATATATGGTCAAATTATGTGGGCATTTAAAAATATTTAATACGACTCAAATAAATACATGTAGAGTCCTAATTTGATTTTTATTCATTTAGATTGTGATACTCATTAATTTGATCTTATTTTATTTAGGACAACTGAACTGTATGATGACGTGTGTATTCTTCTATGGCCTTGGGGTTGGACGCTAGGCCTGGGCCTATCTCGGTCTTGGGCCACACTCTGACTTGACTCTCCTTGAAAGATTGCCTCTAGGCTGGGTGTTCATCCTTGGTGGGCTTGGTTCATTCTTATGGACTAGGTGGGTTCAACCCACTCAAGTGTTCAGCCCACATCAGTTGGGCTAAGTGATTTGGTCCACCTCGACATTCTAATCGAGCTTGGCCCATGTTAGTTCTGATGAACCCACGTCGGTTGGACTCGATGAGATCAACCCATATCAACATTTCTGATGAACCTGGCCCATGTTCGTGGGCCTAGGTTGGTTTGGCCCTAAAGAGGTAACTCAACCAAGTCCTGGTCCTAATTATTTTGACCTCTTTCACTTGGTAATCTAAACTTTCATGCTAGAGCAAATATTGGTAGAATAGAGTACAATATAAAATCACTTGTAGGAAACCATAGGCAACAACTACAAAGAGTCAACATAGATAAACATCAACAAAAATTTAAAACTACTACATTGATAAGTCTTATCATAGAGATTATATGTACATAAAACCAATACCATTAAACTATTTTAGCCATATGATTTTGTACAAATTATTTGATGGCAAGAATACATTTAATTTTTTTGTATATAAATACAAATGATTAAGTGCTCCAGATCAAACCAAATGTTTACGTGTAATACGTCCAAATTTTTTTTAATATAATAGTACGTTCTATTTTTTGGGGAAAAAATGAAGAAGAGTGAAATTAAGTGAAATAGTACCAAAATTTAATCCCAATCATTGTCGAGTAAAAGACAAAAATATTTAAAGTCGTTGTTGGCTCCATTTACACATATGTATGTGTGTGTGAATGTGTTACCAAAATTAATAGTGGTGGAGGTAGAAGTTTCCGCATAACTTATATATAATAAGAATCAATGGCATACCTCTTATGTTGAGATAGACACTATTATCAATGTATGACACTGACACAATGTGCCAACCAGCGACTTTCCAAAAACAACGAAGAGATAAAATTATGGACATGGACATTGTACATACGTAACATTGTTTGATATAAAAATAAGTCGTGCTATAGGTCTCGAATATTGAGGTGTAAATTTGCCTCGAATTTGTTTAACCGGTCGTCCGGCTGGTCGTCCGGCAAAGAGGGTGACAATCGCGGTCGATAAGGTTGTCAACCGCGATAGACAAGTATTTCACTAGGTCGTTCGGGTGGTCGTTCGACCGGTGACTACAAATTCGCGCCTGAAACTCTTGAGGCGTGAAGCATTAGTGTAAAAAATAGAGTGTCTAACATGGTAAAAAAGTGATCATGAAATACATGAAACTCAAAAGAAAATATATCGCTAATATAAGTTACTTGACAGTGAAAGATGTTTGACAGAACTTAGGCTATAAACACAATCAATTAAAAGAATAAGTGCAACTAACCTTTTTGTACAAATTCGGAAGGTTTGTCTCATAAAATGGAAGGTATCCTGCCATTAAAACATAAAGAATGACTCCACGTGACCAGACCTCCATTGCAACACCATCATAACCCCTTCGACTTAAAACCTATGGCATTGGTTGAGGAGAAAAAATTTAGATGGTGGACAAAAACATCCAGGGCCATGCTTCTTTACAAAATATTAATTTTGAATAAATAAATAAAGTAGGAGAAAAATGGTGAATTTAACTGGAAGAATTGAAACATTAGCTAACTAAAAAGCTTGCTTAAACACAATTATACCACAAAAGCCTCACAATCATTTGCATAGTTTCAGAAAAACTAAGGGATATATTGACTATTGTTGATTATTATCGAAGGTTAAGAAGCTTAGACACTTCTAAGACAGTGTCATGTCCGTGTTGGATACATGTTAGGCATTGACACTATTAGACACTCTCGACACATGTCAAACGCTTGCCAGACACACATGTTAACTATTTAGACAGGTATAAAACACACTATAAGTTCAAAGAAAATATCTCAGGAGCTAATTATTAAAATCAAAACATGTATACATACCTATTAACCCCTACTCTTTTAGGAGTTTTAGTTTTAGGAACGCATAAGCCTAAAGCTTTCTACCTGTTTGTGAATATGATTTTTTAAAATAGCTTTAGAACTTTTTGTTCACATTTCTTTTGCAATTTATAGAATCTAAATACATATATAAAGATAAATTTATATATAAAAATATAAAATTCTTTGTTATGTGTCCCTGCCATGTCGTAAGTTGATTTTAGAAAAATTGTCTTTCAACCTATCTATATCATTCCATATTCATGTCCATTGTATCCATGCTTCTTAGGTCAAAGGAAAATAAGATCTATAGGTAGCAATTGAGAACACAAGGGAAAATAAGACAATTTATAAGACAAATCACACAGCCTGAGACCCCTAAATTTTGCAAATTCTAGTAATGTCCATTATAACAAAAGCCCTCAATTCCCCGTTTACTAGGGAAATTAACCCTAGAACCAAAACGCATCACGGGCGAATCTGTACAAATCCTAATCGACCCCGGTAACTTAGAAATCATATCTAACACTCTAATATTAATTATTTAACTCTCTAATTTTAGATTAATCGCTCAAAATTCTAGTTTTTTTTTATCATTTTCATTTGGTTATACACCTTTTAATTCAAGGCAAGATGATTCAAACCAAATTATTTTACCCAACACTGTTTTAATAAATACTACATTTGAAATATATATTCTAATTAATCCCAAGCCCTCACATTTTATTCTAATTACATTTTGACCCCAAATCATTCTTTATACATATAAAAGTACACCCCCAGTATTATAATCTTTTTCCAAAATATCTACAGTATACATAAGAGTTTGTAGACAAATAAATGAGAAAAATTCCCTCAAATCATCATCACATTGGCGGTCACCCTATAAATATACATTGTAGTGTCCTTTTTTAAACAAATTTCATGAATTTAGGGAAGACTTCTGACTAGGACCCCAAAATCTACGAAATTTGTCTTGTACTTGTAACTAACTCAGTTATAACCCTAACTAGGATTTGTTTAAGTACACAATTAGGGCCTCAATAAACCCCATTCTATTACATTCCAACTAAATCCAAAGACTATTCAATTCCTTTGGAACCATGGGCATTTTGGACTTTTCACACCAAATTTCCTATAAATACAGCACCATCCCCTTAGCATTTGCATACTCAAGTACACACCCGCACTACACACGGCAGAGGTAGAGTGAGGGGGAGTAGAGAGTGAGCTTGAAGGAAGAGAAAGAAAAAGAGAGAAGACTTTGTGCAAGCCTTAACAATCTAACAAACAAGTAAGCCACAACACAATCTATTATTTTCTTTTCTTTTCTTTTCTCTTCTCTTCTAAATACATAATATTAGATGCTTAGAATATAGTTTTCATATATGTGTATGGTTCTTGTGTTTAAATAAGAGAAGTTGTGTTTTGTTATAGGGCTGAGCAAGGAATCCGTGAAATCCGTAATCCGATATAATCCAGTCTAATCCGATAGGTTTGGATTGGTTTTTTGAATCTGCGGTTCAGTTCTGGATTGAAGAATTAAAAATCCGTAATCCACGGATTGGTTCTGGATTGAACCCCACTGTTCCGGATTGGAACCGATTCGGACCGTATATAAATAGTCTATATTTTTATTATACATCCTCCCTCATAGTATCTTCTTTTATTCTATATAAAATCTAAACTCAAACCTAAAACAGTATAATATCTTCTTTTATTACTTTTGTTTGTTAGTTTTTAGTTTTAATTTGTAATGGTCTAAATACTTATGGTAAAACCAGTTTTCTTATGATTATTTAAATTCTAGAACAGTATGTCGCTATTATAGAAAAACATGCTGCCATTGTGGAACTAATATAGCGCTATGTTTATATTTTTATGAAATTAAAGTGTTATATATATATATTTTTGTTGTTTAATTATGTGAATCCGTGGTCCTAAACCGATCCAATCCGTATTTAAATGGATTGGTTCGGATTGGTTCCATGATTTAAACGGACTGGATTGGTTCCAATTTTTCAGAAACAGTAGATAATGGATTGGTTCTGATTTTACCCCAACCCGGTCCAATCCGGACCATGCTCACCCCTATTTTGTTAGTTACCTTGCATGTATTTTCCTTGTTGAAACAAAGTCACAAATTTTTATCCATTTCATACATTATTTTTAAAGGAACACCTTCAAACTAAAAATATGAGTTTTCATCATAAGAGAAGTTTAAAATTTCCCATAGTTGACTCCTTTTCTTACAATTCTTTTTATTTCAAGTTTTGAGCACTAACAACTGGTATTTTTAGCCCACTTTCAAAAATTCTAGAAAAATGCAAAAAAAATTCCTCTTGAGCTCAATTTTATATCAAAACCTTCCTTAAAGTATTAAATTTTAAGAAAAATTGGTTTCACTAAAAATGAATGAATGGTTTAAGAGAAAGCCGATTTTCGTAACAATCGACGAAGCTGGACAGTACTGGAGTATTTCTTTAATAGCTACAAATTTAGAAAAGCTATCCCATTCTTGAAAAATGATCTTGAAACTAGATAAAATTCTCTACAAATCCTAGGAAGGTTGAGTTCGGGAAAAATCTAAAAATGCCATTTTGATAGTGATCTTTAAAGTAAACTAAATATGAAAATTTGTTCTTAGTAGTTTCATGTTCTTAATTGATTGAATATGCTTCTTATTGTTTGTTCAAGCATTAGTTTGTCCTCTACATATTTTTGTGGTTATAATGCCATGATATGTTCATACTTGTGTAGAAGTTGTATTTCAATTACTTGTTCTAACCTTGATTTAAATCACTTAGCACAACGGGAAACTTATTAAAGGTGGTATTGGGTTTCCGATTACTTGAGAAATTTATGATATTATAATTGTGTTAAATTCAAGTATTGGTTGGCGAGACATGTTCCCTATTGAAAGTAAAGTCTTGCGCAAGCGGTTATTTTGGAATCCTTGAATGGATCGGTTGTATTCGGACCCTAGGTGATTTCAGTGTGATAAGGTTAGAAGAGGTTATGGGTAATGCCCTTATTTTACCCTCTCTTTTGAGGTTCTTAGTTGGCGCTACACGGAATGCAACCATTGTAGGCATTTAGGGTAAGGCCTACAATGCAGCAAAAGATGGGGCATACCGAATAATTCAAGTTCAATTCTCAAAGTTGGCAGGATAAAATCTCTTTGGGGATTTCTAATTACTAACATCTAACTTTGTAACTCTTTGCTTGTTTACTTGAATATCATGCTTCATTATTTGTTGTAATTGTAATTGTAATTGTGTATTAGATTGGGAAAAAGGGACGGGGTGTGCGCGTGTTTAGTTTTCCAAACTCATGGCTTTTCATGCCAGGTATTGAAGACTATTAGCTAGTTGAAGGCGAAGTTGAAGCATTTGAGGACGTATAGCTACACTAAAAGAATTAGATACTAGTTTTGTTACCCATTTGTAACCATGTTTGGGATTGTAAATGTTAAAACTCTTGATGTAATTAAGACATACCTCTTGTAATTACTTATATATATATATATATATATCTTTTGTAATCTATCATTATATTCGGTCAACTCATGTAGATCTTGCGTTAATATTTGGTTAAGATCTATTAAAAAGATAGTTTTGCTATCTAAGGAGATTGGACTTAAAAATGAGGCTATTTTGACTCCTTCGATCTTTTTTGGGATCTTACTTGATTATTGATCAAATGACTCATTAGTAACGTTTCCTATACTTATAACCTTAGAAAAACTCTCTATTAATTTGTAAATATATTCCTTAATGTTTTTTGGGGGGCATTACAATGGTGTATCAGAGCTTAGATTCAACCCTTACCCACACATTTCGGCCAGCGGTTAGAGACTACCTTACCTTGACTATATTATTATTATAACACTATCTATTTTATTAATTAGAAGACATCAAAAAATTGTAATTTTCTACACCTACTGTGAACACCGTGCCTTTTTTGGGTCTAAGGCACGTTGCCCACACTAAATGTTGTCCCAACTCGCTTTAACCAACATAGAGTCACCACTTAATTTTTATGAAGAATTAAGAAACCTTTAACAATGAATACTAAGTTAATGACCGATTCATCATAATCAGAGAATTCTAGGTTCGGAAGCTTAGGTACAAAATAGGAAGGTCATTGAATGATAACACCCCTTTTGCCCAATTCAAAGATTCGCCTGTACTAACTTTCTATTTTATGATTTTAGTAGTTAATTATTCATAGAAATTCATTTTAAACCTAGAATCCTTAACTAACCTAAAATTGTGTGATTTGAATAAAATGAAGATCATTTATTTTAAATTAAAGGAATAAAACCATATTTCCAAAGATAATGATTTTTTTAATAAAAAGTAGATTTTATCAATCAATGGCTATAAACTCAATCTAAAATAAATAATATTCATAAAGATATTTAAAGCAAGCAATTTTGCATAGAAAAGCATATAGACTTGAATTATTGAAAAACAACATAAGAAGTACACCAAGAGAATGAAGGAAACTTACCCCGGTGCTCACTCAAGCGTCTTACATGCAAGGTCAGAAAACAAACATGATACTAATATGCAACTAGACATACAAATAATGATCCTAAGCTTGGTTTGAAACTGCTAAAATGATTATTATGCAATTAAAGCAACTAACAAAAAAAAAGAGAACAATGCAAATTATCTGTATGATGATTCAAATGGGACTTAATGCATGATTTTTACATGATTAAGCAAGCTTAAATATATTATTCTAATAAAAATAAAGAAAACATGCAAGAATATGTGGGAAAGTGAATAAAACTTGAAAGAATGAATGAATTACATGATGCTATGATAGACAGACACCCTAGCATGATTACAAACTATTGAAATAGAGAGGAAAAGAAGACCTACTCGTTGATTTGCAATAAACCAAAGAGCACACGAAGAAAAGACAAGTTTTCTTGCTTGATTGCTTCCCTTCAACTTAGGTACTGATTTAGTTCAAGTTCTTCAAGCCTCAAACGAATTTTTAGTTGTTAGAGTTACTGTGGAAGGGTGTATTTTCGGAGTTAGGGCTTAGGAGGAGAAGAGGCAAAGGTTTTTCACTAAACAAAGCTCACAAAGCTTGCTCAAAAGTCCATCCCCTTTGAAAGAGGGGATAGCAGTTGTATTTATAGGCTTAGGGGATGCTTCGAATCCTAGGGTTCCCCCATCGCATTCTCTTTGCGCCTCCGAAGAAATCGTACTCAAACACCAAAATTTTAGGCGTCAGTTGGATGTGTGCATGCACAAGAGATGTGTGCACACATGAAAATGCATCTGTGGTTGCCTTTGTGCACACACATATCCTTAACATCTTTTCGTATATTGGGCATATCTTTCTCATCCAATATCGGATTGAGGCGAATCAAGCGGTGTTGGAAAGCTAATTCAAAGGCCTACAATTTTGTTGAATAGTAATTTCTAAATTCGAATTCTTTCTAGGTGAAAACAAGCCCTCAATATGAACCAACAAACGGTAATTTTAGCAAAAACTATTTTTGGCACGAAAATAGCAATACAACAACTCTAACAAGTTCAAATATCTCTATGGTTGAAAATATGATACATTCATCATCAGGAAGCATTTCAAGTGCCTAAATCTTAATGCTCAGTCCAAATGGGGTGTCTATAGTTGCCCCTCTTTGACAGAACTCGAGTAGTCATACATGACTAGTGTGAATGTCAAAGCTCCGAGACCAACCCATTTGACAAGGTCATAAGACTTAAGGTAGTGCCATACATTCATACAAGTTATCGAATATGCAGGTTGCCTACATATCCTCGTTGAGAGGAATCAGATCAGTATAGTTTGCGAGCGGTTGTGCAACAGTTCATTTGTGAGTGAGTGTGTGCGACAAGCACTCAAACATTCGCCAAACATGCAATAATCAAAGAAGATGAGACAATACCTGTCATACTCACCTTGCCATGTCGAAGTAATTTTAGTTCAATCTTTTTCCAAGTTCTCCATGTGTGTCTATTCTACGAATACACAAGGAAAACAAACTTGAAACAATAACACACACCACAGTGTGGTTATAATTATGCCAATTTATGATGCCAAATTATGCCACTTCCATAAATTAAGAATGATCAAAACTTTACCAAACATGTACTACGACAAGAGACATGCAAGACTTTAGGAAATATGTACTACAACATGTAATGATTTGGAAGATTTATCACTTACCAAATTTGTACCATGGCATGGGATATGCACCAATTGCTAAACATGTACTACGACAAGAGATAAACATCAATTACCACATCAAATATTTACTACAATGGGAGAATACTTAATATCAAATATGTACTACCACATCAATTTTTAAATATATGCTATGACATGAAATATGTACTACAACATCAATTTCCAAATATGTGCTACAACATGAATTTACAAATATGTGCTACGACATGAGATTTTAGATATGTGTTATGACATGAAATATGTACCACAACATGAGTTTCCATATATGTACCATGACATAACAAGGTTAACAACCAGATGTATTCTATGACACACAAGG